TCAGTTTTTTTGTCTGTCAAAAATCCTGAATGTTAAATATACTGGCGAGTAATTCTTGCAATATATTCTGTGCCTGTTGGAAACTTGGGAATCTCGTGTATGTTTAGCTCGAAGGATGGAATTCTTGGGACAATAAAATGATTACAACAGTGGTAGAGGGTAGTAATCAACATGTTATGAAAGAAAGCCTTGTAATTGCATTCCCATTTAAGATGCTACAGGCAGAGTTTTGGTTAATAGTTTTATACATGCTTTATGATGGCTTTGCAAGTTTGTTGTGTACTTAACTAATTAAATTTTTTAAAGTTCAAAGGTATTATGGTTAGTTGAAGGCTGAATAGTCAGGCTTTTACTGTAATTTAATAAATAAAAGAATTTTCTCAGTGTAAAAAAAAAAAAAAAAAAAAAAAAGGCAATATGAAACTTGGCAAAGAGCAAAACATTTGGAATATCTAAGTAAAAGCATGGGTAGAAGTGGGTGGGACATCAAGAATTCACTATTGGTGATATAGGTATAGTCATGCAGCATTAATCATGCAATTCAGGGATAACACCCCAGGGTATGTCTAAGGATCTCCCACCCCTCTTCCTGTACCACCAACCTTTGGAGAGGACTTTCGGCTTGCTGTGTATTTTGAGTGTTCCTTGTTGTACAAGAACTATATGCTTATAAGCATACATGCCTTCTTATGGGATTCGAACCCAGGCTTGTTGCTATGGTAGTCAGCATTACTAACCACTATACAAGCTGGGCAGTAATATCTAAATACTGTGAAACCTTGCTGAAATAAACTTCAAAGGATCAGGAGCATCATTTAACAGGGTTCGTAGCGGTCCTTATAAGTGCTTATAAGTTCTTATATTTGAAAATAAAATATAAAGCCCTTATAGGTGCTTACTTTTTCTTTAAAGCCCTTATTTTTTTGTTTTTAGTGCTTATTTTTTTGCTTTAGTGCTTTTTTTAATCCTTTTTTTATGAACGCCTTTTTTCGCCCCCGTACCAAAGCCGAAACTAAAATAAACAACTTTTCTTCCTTATATGCAACCTCAGATGGTGAAGTCATATTTCCCGAAATTAGCTTTCCCCCCTTTCTCTGCATTAACATAACCTTTGGTGTGCACGAAGAGTACAGACAGGTGCCCGTTGTTCTATTGGTCCAAGAATTGCGAAAGCAGTAGAAAATTCCACTACATTCGGCATTCTTCTCCTCCCACCCAAATACTACACACGATTGAATTTCTATCAAGATCTAAAAAATTTGCATTCTCATTCCGTTTGGTCAGTTCATATTCGTGTTTATTATGATCGTTATGCTTATATTATGAGCATATGTATGAATGTTTATACATACATAGTTGTACATAGTTGCAATGTTTATAATAACATAGTTGCAGTAACTGCTGAAGTATAGTAAACTTCCAAAAATGGTTGTGTTTTAACACAGATTAGCTTTCTAAGGAATAATATTCGGAATGGCTTAAATAAAGGGAAAGTAATCGAATTGTTAAAATAATTTCATTTTTTTGGCAATATATTATACAGTACGAAGGTTGGGAGGTCTCTCCTTTCTCCGCAAAATCTTGGAATATTGAAACTGTTACAGTTCGCTGCAAAACAAGCAACGGACCTTTTTTTTTTTTTTTTTTTTTTGTCACTTTCCAATCTGGATTGAATAGGACTAAAAGTTTGGGTCTACCCAACCAAGAAAAGAATGATTCTATTCCGGAAATTAACGGTCTGTTCAAAATTAGAATCAAAAAACACCTCAGAGTAGTAAGTCTCTTTCTTTCCTTTATTTAGTTCCTTATTGTCGGAATACCAGCAGCTGTGATTCCGATTGCGTAATATCACGTATGGAAGAATTACGCCGCATGTATGGCGCAATAACGTTTGCGATATTTTGCAGAGATGATTAATTTTGATTTTCAGTCTGAGATTTATTTATGAACACTTAAAACAGTTTTACTGTGCCTTGCTAAGCAGAATATTTCTCAGTTCCGTTCGGTCTATTTTTATATGATGCACATATTCGAAATGTCAAAATTATTTATTTAGCCGAGAAAAATCTAAACAACGGCTACAGTCTCCCCCCCTTCCTCTTTTTCCAGTTACGCTCAACAATATGGAATATTCGAAAAATTCCGAGTATGCGGGTTAGTTAAGCTTTTGCTGTTAAAAAATGACTGCATGAAGCAAATTTCCTGTCTCCTGATTTCAGAAATGTTCCTCTTTTTTACTTAAATTACTTTGCTTGCAATATCTGTTAAGAGAAAACTGATATACAATGAAAATTTAGAAAATGTTCAGAATTTAGATTTAAATTATTTAAATGTCCGTATGAGTGAAAAATTAAATTGTATTGAACAAGCGAATACAATAAATATGCCTTATTATTATTTATTTTCTCTATTTTGAACTGAAATTTCATCATTAAATCTTGTAATGTAGTTTAGTTCTTTATAGTTTTTTTTTCCCCCTCTCATTGTAAACTAGTTCTATAAATTGAAGTATCATTTAAAATTTAAAAAAAAAAAAAAGTAATTATTTTCCGTGGTTGAGGTAATGCTTGTTCTCTCTTAATAAGTACTTCATTTCTCATATTTTAAATTACAAGTCTGATTTTTAAGGTTATGCAGTTGTGTGTGATGTAATTAGACAGATGCTTATTTTTTTTTCATAAAATATGCTTGAAAAGTGCTTATAGGTGCTTATTTTTTTTAACTAAAATGTGGCTATGAACCCTGTTTAGTAAGAAAAGTAGATTATTTCACTAAAGTATAAAAAAAAAAGTGTTTTCATATTTGTATGAAATTGAATTACGAAAAATATTGCCAAATTACGAAAAATATTGCCAAATTTTAATGGTTGCAGAGGAAAGATTCAGTAGCTTTTATAATTAATATCCTTTGTCTTTCAAAGGACCTAAAGAATTTAAAACCCCAGACACAGCATAGATAGTATTTATACTAAAAAAAAGGATGTATGATTAAAAAAAAATTAATTCTGCCAATAAAAGACAATGAATTGTATAACCCAAACTTGTAAATTTAACTGTTTCCTCTCTAATTAAAATTTCCATTATAGTATCAGCCTCAAATAGAGCTTTGTCTGGCAACTCAAAGAATTTAAATTTAATCAAAGAACCTACTTGCTTTCTTTGGTTTAATGGTCACATGCACCAGTGGTCTCAAATTTTGCATGAAGGCTGAATGCATAATCTAAAAACAGAAAATAGTTCATGCGGCAGTTTTTTTTTTTTTTTTCCAACAAAAACAAAAGATTTTTATTTAACGAAAATTTTTTAATTTAAAATTTTACTTACTAAATGGTTATCAAAACCACAAACAAGCAATAAATATTAACAATATTGCAAAGAGGAAAATTTCAAAAAATCTTAATATCTGCAAAAGTTTAATACCTGCAAGATATTTTTGTTGATTACACTTTGTAATTCATATTTATATTAACAGATAAATGTTAAATTTTCAAATCCATATTTATTTAAAACAGTTGTTACATGTTTAATTGATCATTAAATCACTTACTTTAATTAAAACTAAGAATTTAAAGAAAAATGGGAAACTTTTTTAGTTTTCAAGAGAGAATTTTGTAAGTTGGACAAAAGAATAAATAATAACAGCCTAGTTTTTTTTCTTTTATGTATGAAATATTTCTTCAATGCGTAAATAAAAATGCACATGTTTCTGTGTAAGTAATTATAAACTTCTTTGTTTCTTACTCCAGCTGGACACTTGATGGCGTTTTGACTCTGATAAAGCGCTAGAAATTATCTTCTTCGTGGATTGTAGATTTTCGTTGGTTAGTTGGGTTCTTATTAATTTTAAAGTGAAAAGACTTGTTCACAAATAATACCAAACGAAGCAATTATTTGTAGTGTGAAAATTCGTAACTGATCTTATTTAATTTTGTAGAAATATATACAAAAATTAACAAAATCCATCATCAAGTCATTGAATACCATCTGTATCACATTATTAATTAACTCCTTTTATGAGTTTTTCTGGAGTGCTATTCATATTCGTTTTTAACAATAATGGAAATGATATAAACTTGTACCGAAATAACTAAAATCTTTGCATAAAATTCACAAATGAAATGTATTCTTGTGCTGGATATAATTGCTTCTGGGTCCACCGGTTTGAGACCACTGACAAATATAAAAACATCGTATTGTGACTTTAAGACATGCGTATTCTATCCTCATTCTTCTAGATTGGGTGTCACATTTGTTTTCCATAGTCCTTGTTTAGAACATGGAGATATGTAGGGTTAAATATAAAAGAAAAGCAATGTAAAGGTGTTTGTTTCCCTTAAGGATGGAATGAAGATCCTAACATTCTAATTGTGGATAATTTTGTTAACACCTTTGCTGCTATGTGATCCACTGGTGGGTCGATAGACTTGTTTGTAGGGCCTCATGTCCACTGGTGGGTCATAGCAACATTCACATTTGTGGCCATGTATATTCCACTGGTTGATCACCATTTGTTCAGTTTTATATGGGAATATAAATTTCTTGAAATCTCCAAATCACTCTGCTCAAATTGCTCCTTATATGCATCAGCAGTTAATGAATTAAGTCACGGAATTCTGAAAAAAAAAATAAATAAATAAAAAGCATCAGAGGTATATCCATATAGTTTATTACTTCCGATTTTTATACATTTAAAAGTTAGTTTATTACAAACCAGGTTCATGGTAGTGGTGCTAGATTGTAAATATTTATATATTTTAGATCCAAATCCTATTATAAATGGTTCAGTGAACTGAATCATGAATTATTTAGTGAATTTAAGTCTGTCCAGAGATTTTTTAAAATGGCATCATCACATAGTGCGAAAATCCTCCCAAAAAGTTTAGATTTTTGTGCAAGTGCCTTGTAATTTTTTTATATTTCTAGGTTAGCAACTGTATTTTATTTCTTAGAGCTAATTTTTTTTAAATTTTCACAAGTATGATTTTTTTTTTTTCCTCCCAGATAATGATTCAAGTCAACAAGGAACAGAAAACCGAGACCCTTTACCCAATCCTTGGGCACTTGGTGGAACTCAGAGTTCTGGTTCAACACCTCGTCCTGCAGGTTCTACTACTCCTAATTTACTAGGATCCCCTGGAATGCAAAGCATGTTCCAGCAACTAAGTGAAAATCCACAGCTTTTATCTAACATCAATACTCCATTTTTACAGTCTATGATGCAAACATTAGCAGCAAATCCTGATGCCACAACTAGAGTAAGTTGCAAAAGCCTGTATTCCTTTTTTCAATGGGTGATTTAAGTAAAATTAGATTATTTCATAAAGACTTTTTGAAAAGTTATAATCTGCTAATGTGTATCTGCTTTTATTAAATGAGTTTGCAAAATAAAGGACATTCTTTGTGTGAAAACTTTGAATATTCCTTGGATAAGAAAAACTTGCATCTAATTTATAGTAATTTTTCTCATGCATGGAATATTTAGCATTAGAGGTGCTTTTAATTTTGAATCTCACCTTTTTGTCAGTATCACATTTCATGTTGTGCTGCCAAATGTAATTGCCATTATTTTGAAATAAATTAAATGAAAAATATGAATGTGTGTGGGTATATGTATGTTTCTCGTATTATAGGAAAATGACGGCACTCCAGAGCTGCCATATTTTGAATACATGGGGTTTGTCATTCGAGCATGTTTGCTTTATATTTTTTCATATTTTGTGCAATTTTAATCAATTTTTTTATTAACAAACATAGCAATTTGAAAGTGAGAAGTGGCAATATTTTAGAACATTGGAAATAGAACATTTTTATCTCTAGTGTGCCATAGTGCTGCCATTCGTCAAAATCTTTCAATTTTAATCAACCAACTCAGATATTTAAAAGTAGTGTGTTACCACTGCTGAAAATGAATATTTTTATCTTACACACACCAGCGTGTTACCATTTAGTAACAGGGTTGCATGCTGCTTGGAAAATAGGGAAAAGTCAGGGAATTTAAATATTTTTAATCAAAATCTGGAAGAGTCTGGGAATTTCTTACCGCAATTCCCCCAAAAGCAATTTTCAAGTCAGCATTCACTTTCTTGAAGCAGTCACTTTCTTGGTGAATTATGTATTGCATGAGCGGAATTTGGAGAACTTATGTAGAGCCAGTTTTCACAGCACCAGTCAGATTACCTTTTAGGCTGCTATCACACTTTAGTTTGTTTCGGAAGAAAAACTCTTTGGAACAATTTTTCTGCTTTGTCGCTACAGCCAATGACCATAGATCGCTTTAGGGTTAATACAGGGAAAACTGGTTCCCCATTACAAACTAGCTAATTGATTGAAAACGAACAACTTGCATTTTTTTTCCCCCCTTGAAAGAAAGAAAAAAGTCGAATGTCTTTCTTTCAATAGTAAACCGGGCAGAAAAATTGTCCGAAACAGTTGTTATTGTGAAACAAATGCCGTTTGATATGGACCTTAGTAAGGCAAAGCAAGTGTCCGGCATCTTTGGTTTCCAGTAACCCCGAGAATCCAGAGATTCGCATGTGCAGTGCATGTTGAACGAAAGTAAATTTCGCCGGTTATCATATAAAACAAAATCTTTTAAACCTTTTCTTTCTTAAATGCCTTTTTTGTCATTTAAAATAAAGGGGGGGGGAAATCAGTCATTCAGCTAACCATTGAATATATTAATATTCGCCAAAATTCAGTTATTTTACAATTCAGTTTTTAATCTTTAAGTAATTAACTTTATTTTAATGTTATTAGTTTCATTTAATGTGGCTTCTTCCTTCTAAATTTATTTATTAGTTAATATTGCTTTCAAATTTTAAGCAAATTTCTCTGGCATACTTGTGAAACTAATTCTATCAATATTGACATACCATCACAAAGTTAGTGCAAACATTTTTTACTTGTGTATGCTGCTAAATAAATATAAAATACTTAAAATATTTTTTAAATATCATTTAAGATATTTCTTTCTTCCTTTAGTTGCAAATTGTCTGCTGAGAAGACACATTTTTTAATCCCATTTGAGCAGGTTCTGATTTCAATCCTCAGAGGAGAAGCCAACTCCTATTATAGTTATAATAGAAGGATTATATATATTTGGGGGTTGTATGTAACTGGCAACATTTTGTGTTTTCAAGTGGTACCATAATTAATTTATCTTCAGCACAGCCAATGAGCCAATGTTGCACTATGCAGATAGCCTGAAATTTTCTTGAAATATACTGGAAAATGTCAGGGATTTTAATTTTCCTGTTTGTAAGCTTTGAGATAGTGTATCTCAAATTTGTCCATTCATCCCTTTCACTATTGCAAGATCACCCTCCCTCCTTTCCCTAAATATATATATATATGCACATTTATTTAAATTTAGATTATTTTTTAACCCATTACAAACATAACAAAAAGAATAGAAAACATTGATAGATACACAAACTTTAATAAAACTTGTTTTATTACTTATAAACTGAAACTAAACTCGTAATAGACAAATAAAAGGTTGATTACATTTTTGAAGCTATTAAATTCTTTCCCTCTCCCCTCCCCGGGTTGAGAAATCCTGGCTTAATTTATTTAACTTGCATATTTAATCTGAAACATTATTGAGTAGCCAACTAAATCATTTAAAAGCAATGAACTCAGTTCGTAATGTTTTTATATTTTTAATATGGTTGATTGAAATGAGTTTACATTAAAATCATGAAATGTGATTTTTTACTTTTTTGTACGAAGTAAAGAAAGTACAGTGGAACCTGGAGATATGAGGACCTCTGTATATGAGAAATTCGAGATACAAGCAAAGTATTAGCAAAAAATTCGTCTCTAAATATGAGCATTGACTTGAGTTACGAGCAAGAAGCCAGACTGTGAGTATGAGTGTTGCGTTGCCCGATCCGAATCGACACAGGAATATCCCTGTCAGATCGCTCAGTGCTCTTTGATCTATGTGTTTGTGTACTTGTGAGTAAATTGTTTCTTACATTTAATGTGAAAATAATTATTTCACGATGCCTGCCAAAGAGATTGTTGCCTCAGATAGTACTGAAAGAAAAAGAAGGAAGCCATGGCCATTAAAATGAATAAAGAAATCAAGTGTAAACATAAGCCTGGTGTATAAGTGAAGGAATTGACCGATAGTCATTCGACATAGATGATCTGCACTATTTTGAAGAAGAAGGAAATTAAGAAACTTGGGCCAGAGGAGTTACTGTTATTTCCAAGCACCATCCAAAACTCCTAGAAGTTGTTGAGAAGCCGTTGTTGCTATGGGTTAACGAAAAGCAGTTAAAAGGTGATTCAGTGTCGGAAGCTATCGTTTGCACATAGGCTAAGGAACTGTACTTGGACCTTTTCCAAAAACACCAGGTACGTCGAATGAAGATGAGATGGCAATGAGACATTTGGGGCTGCGGAACAGATTAACTGCATTTCCATTATTTTCAGTGGTTAAGTTTGTTTCTAGATATGAGAAATTTGCTATACGAGCTTAGTGCTAGAACCAATTAAACTCGTATCTCGATGTTGCACTGTATTGTAATTACAAAAAATTCCAGATATCATATTTCAACAAAAATATCCATTTTGACCACTGTCGAATGCAATTTAACAACGTTTTTGCATGACATCTGTGCATAAGGACAGAAGAAAGGACAATCCCCCCCCCAAAGCAAAATATAAAACTGATTTAAAATGCATTCAGAAGAGATTTTTTCTGTGGCATTTGTATGTATGTACGTATCTCACATAACTAAAAAATGAGTAGCCTCAGAATGTTTAAATTTTGTATATAGGATTGCTACAACATGTAGTTGTGTACTCTCTTTTTCATCACAATCGGCCACACCAAAAGTATACCCACTCTATTATTGTTGTTCTGATCTTCCGCTTAAGGTTTTTATGCCTTTCTACGTGCAATAGTTGTAAAATTATCAACAATTCTCAATTTAAAAGCTGTTTAATTGCAGCTAAGCCTAATTTTCTTCCCATAGCAACCGTATTTGTGTACATTTGAAACTTGACAGAATAGTGAATTAAATTTTCTGCATCTTCAGTGTCCTTTTGCCGGGTGGGACCAAAAGGAAACTAAGATTTGTGCACCGAGAAATATATATTCTTGTCTGCTGGCAGAATTGCTTGTTTTTCATGCAGAAACTTTAATTTTAATTGAAAAAAAATTTTTTTTGTATTGTTTTTTAACTGTATTTGGTGTTTTATGCATTTTCATATTTTTCAATTTTTAATGATGATATTTTGAGTCTTTATGCATTTTTGCCTTGCCGCAAAGTGAGAATTGAATTAATTCAATGAGAAATATATCTTTAATGAAATTCAAGGGAATTGTTTTGTATTAGCAGCAAATATTGCCGGCAGTGTGTGCATGCGCATTAGGTAAGCAACACTTAATCTTCTGTGAAAACTGTTTCTTTTTCATTTGTTTCATTTCTTTTATACATTGTTTTAGATTTTGATATTTGAATAGAATATGCTGCAACATTAGATAATTCTTCACATGATGTAATTGTGCATTCTAAGTTATAAAATGAATGAAATGTCACGCTGTTTAGTGAACCGAGCACCAAAGTATCGCTATGGTAAATAAATATAGTAAATTTTAAGGAGTGCATTTATTTCATTGTGGTTTATGCACTATATACGAAGTAGATTCAATTCAATAAGTTTAAATAAAATGCAGGAAAAATAGTATATAATGTAATATTCTATACAAGGAAGTCATGTAGTGTACACATCAAAATTCCCCCCTCCCCTTGATACAATTTTTTTTTTTTTTTTTTTAGCATGCACATTTAATTTTTTTCACCTCATAATGAAACATATAGAGAGTTCTGATTCTTAACCCTTTCTTGACGGGTGTCCCATATACGCATTCCTTAAGAACGTCTCGTACAGCCGGGCGTCCCATTCACGCATCACTAGAGATTGCATTCAGAGGACGGGTGATGCGTATACACATTTTAAGCTGGAACGTTTTTTTCTGAAGGCCACTAGATGGCATCCTATGTCCATTACTTTTGAAATGAACACAGTTTTAGGTTCCTGACCTTGAGTTTGATATACAGTCAAAAGTCATTAATCCGGACTTGTCGGGACTTCGGCGATTCCGGATTATCGATTTTTCCGGATTAGTTTAAATCTGGTAAGATGGCATGCAGAAATTACAAAATTAAAAATATGAAACCGTAATTTATGACATAAAGAACAATTATGATCTAAAGGGTATCAAAATTTACAAAAAGAAAAAGCTTAATATTTATTTGTTTACTTTATTAAACATTTCTTTCAATGTAAGTTGATAAGTTGCTTTGTTTCATGTGAAATACTTTCTCTTTAATTCTATTAAACAGACATAATTTCTTGTTTAGTTACAAAGTTCCGCTGTTCAAGTCCTATAATTGCTGTGTCGAGAATACCGACTAATTTGTCAATCCAAATTTTTTCATTTTCAATAACCTCTGTCACTTTCTTCACTATCGGAAGCGAATTTTAATGACGAGGAACTTGTAACTTGTTTTAAATCATATGGCAGAGTTGCCAACTCTCCTGATTTAGGCGGGAGACTTCCGATTTTCGACCCCTCTCCCGCCATCCCGATTTACAATATATTTCTCCCGACTTTTTCTTATTCTTAAAATTTCTCACGATTTATAGGAAACATGTCTTAATACTTTGTTATATGAACAAATAAAAGTGATTTTGGACGTCTGAAACCAATTAAATTTTCCCTAGATTATATCTAAAACAAAACTTTGCGTATTAGATAATTTCTGCTTTGTGAGTGAGAGCATATACGTATCCAGAAACGTCGTTCTCCAATGGGCATCGGGCTCCACTGCGTGTCACCTGGCATATATTAACCAATGAGGACAAAGCAAGCTGTTATTTGGATGTTCTTTAGTTATTTTGTTCTGAGTTGTGTGAGTACACGTGCCTTCGGAAAATAGTTTTAGAAATTATCTTTTGTTATGTCTGCGAGAAAGGTGAAATACTCGTGTGCGTTTCAAAAATCGTACACACTTGACTTTCCTTCCATTATTTCCTCAAGGAAATATAATAAATTTGCGAAATCAAAAATCCGCCTGTCGTTGCGATTTTTTGATTTTGCATGGTGGAAGGGCAAATGTTCTCAAACATGTGTGTACACAAAAAACACAAGGACAACATGAGTTTTTTGAAAAAAAAAACGAACAATTAAATTTTTCTTCAGAAACAAAGGACCAAAAAGTTATTAATGCAGAATGTCTCTGTTCTCTGCCTTTTTACTGGAGCACAACCTGTCACTGAATGCATCGGATCACGCTGCAGCTTTATTTAGAAAAATGTTTCTCGATAGTGAAATCGATAAGAAATTACTCAGTGCAAGAACCAAAACAGGTGCAATCGTTAAAGAAATGGATTTGAAAAATAAATCTTCAGTTTTTGATTACATTAAAACAACTCTGTTCTGCCTCTCTACGGTTGGAAGCAATAATGCCGATTCAAAACACTATCCAATTGTTGTTTCTTTTTTTAATCCACTGAGTTTCTTTTTTCACTGAGTCTTCAGGAATTGAGTGCAATTTACTTTCTGTCTCCACTTTAGAAGGACATTTGGCAGGCTTTAATATAGCACAGCTAATTATTAAAACTTTAAAAGAAAATGTAGTCCCTCTGGATAATTGCTTAGCACTTGATGCCGATAATGCACCATTATTGGTAGGCTTGAAGACTGGTGTTGCAGGCATCTTAAGAAAGGAAAATTCATATTT